CCCGGCTGCGGCAGTGCCCTCCCTGCCTTTTTTCTCGGGCTTTTCCTTACAGATTCGGGAGCTCTGAAGAAAGGCCCACCATGTTTAGGTTCTTTGTGACCTACGTGCAGAGTGCCCTCTTTATGACAATGGAGCCACCCTTCCTGCTGACAAAGGTGTTTGCTCTGAAACGCTCCCTGCCCACGAATGCCCTTCTTCAGCTTCTCTGACCAGGATGAGACGAGGGGCAGCCTGCCCTCCTCCTCTGCCCTCCTTCTGTGTTTTGTGGCAGCAGAGACTTTTGTCCTGCTTTTCACTCATGTTCCTTTCTGTATTGCGTGTTCAGAATATTTACAGGAATATGCTTGGTTATCACATCCAAATTCACTTTGGGTATGTGCTCCCTTTTAAAAATAGTTTATGTGTATGTGTGTCTGTGTGTATGCATGTGCACCACATGGGTGAAGCCCAAGGAGGTCAGATTCCCTAGAACTGGAGTTACAGGTGGTTATGAGCCACGATGAGGGTGCTGGGAATCAAACCTGGGTCCTCTGCAAGAGCAGCCAGGTTTTAATGCTGAACCATCGCCCAGCCTTGTTTGTTTTTGCGGCCCGTACTTGCCTAGCACAGCTGACCTCAAAGGGACTCTATACTGAGGATGACCTTGGACCTGGGTTTCCCCCACTTCTGCTTCTCTGGCGCTGGGGTAACAGGTAACACTTTGCCTGACTCTTACACGGTGCTGGGGATTGAACTGTGGGCTTCATGTTTGCTGGGTGGGCAGTCTGCCCACTGAGCCATATCCTGAAGTCTGTTTGTGCTGCCTTCACTTTGGGGTGGTCACCTTACAGTAGTTGCGTCCTTTTATCTTCCCTCCCCACTGCTCTGATTGACGAACTCTGTTTTCTTGGGCTGGAGGAACGGCTCAGCAGCTAGGAACATAATTCTGCCCTTTCAAAGGATCTGAGTTCAGTTCCCAGCAACTGTGCTGGGCAGCTCACAAACTGCCTTTAGCTCAAGCTCCAGGGGATCCAGTATCTTCTGGCCCTCAGAGAGACCTATACACACATGCAAATGCACATCATAAAATAATAACTTTTAAAAGCCAGTTTTCTTTAAAGAAAATTAAGTAAGAATACATCTGCACATGGCAGGTGCCAGCCCCATAACTCCTCTTTCCTTGTGTGGATTTCAGGCTTCCATCTGAAGTCAGTTCTTTCCTACTGCCTAAAGAACTTCTTTTAGTCATTGATTATTGGTGCTTTCTGGTTCCTGAAACAGTGTTTGCCTTTATCCGGAGAGGTATTTTTGGCACGCGTTGAGCTGGGATTGCCTGAGTCTTCCCCGTGTCACTTCTGGGTGGCTGTGGATGCCTTCCTTACGCTGCGGCGGCGTGCCTGTCTGTCTCTCAAGGCCACTGAGGTGTCCTCACTGTCGGGGACGGTGATGACAGGCTCCACACATTTCCTTTGTGCGGCTGGAGCGTGGCCGAGCCCTTCCCGCTTTTCTGTAGGTGTGGGGAGTTTTGGTTGGCTGACACACATCGTGAATCTATTTCTTGGTTGTCGGATGCTCTTCCAGTCCTATAAATATCTGCTGAGTTTTATTCTGGGAAGCAGCTTGGTTACTTGGAAACGGCCTCACGCATCCTGGTGTGGCTTTTACAATTTCTTAGACAGAAGCTTCACTAAGCTCCCTTCAGCTGATCACTGCTGATCACTGCTCGTTCCGAAGACCAGGACCATCTGTATACCTTTCCCGGCGTCTGAACAATCACAGCACGTTCCAGCATGACTGGTGGGCATGGGGCACAGCCATAGGTCTCCCAATGTCCTTAGGCACCAGGTAGGGCCTCCATGGCCCTCACTCATAGGCAGATGCCAGCCCAAGGTGTAAGGGATTCTGCACATCCTGGGGTTATTGCTCGGCTTTCCAGATGTGGGTCCCACAAACACCAGCTGTGGGCCCCTTGGGCTCTTTGCTTCATCTTCTCAACTCTGACAATTTCTGAGGCTCTTCCTGGGTCCTGGTAACGCAGTCCAGAATCCATCCCAAGGCATCTGCTGAACTCCTAGCGAGTGCCTCGTTCAATGCTCACCTCTCCAGCTTCCCCTCCATGGATGCTTCTTTTCAGAATCTGGTGTTTACTGTAGCGAGCTGCGTGGTGTCACACCTGATGGAGATGTATAATCAACTCCTGAGATGGCTAAGGCCTGACCTATGCTTTGATCACGCAATGATTATCAGCTGCCTGCATATGCGTGAACCTATGGGCAGTGCCCACCTGGCAGTTCGGGGTTGGCAGCCCATGCCTACTTAAGGGCTGGGGGAGAGAGGAAGAAAAGAGCAGAGAGGAGAGAGGAAGGAGAGAGAGGAAGGAAGAGAGAGAGAAAGTGAATAAAGTCCTGGAATAAACTGCAGTGAGGAGAGCTCCGGTGGTCGCGTCATCCTTGCTGGACGAGGTAGAGACGTGACAGTTTACTATGCTTTGTTTTGGGGGTAAAAGGAGAACCCAGCCCATACAGATTCAAACGGAGCAGAACAAGTAAGCAGAGCCCCCCCCCCCCCATCCCTGCTGGGCTCACTTATACAAGGCTCTCTACTGAGGCAACATGCTTCAGGCTCTTTAGATAGCACAGAAAGCTCTGTGGGGAGGAGGCACGGCCGAGCACACCTGCTGCATCTGAGTGCACTTGAGGCCGCTGCACCTGCTCTCGCCCCGTGTCTTTCCCTCCCTTTGTCCATAGGTGCTGGGGGGGCGGGGGAGACAGGTGCACAACAAGAGGCATCCTAGGACCCGCGGCGTCAGGGTGAGGAGGGTGGGTGCTGGGGCAGCCCCGGGTTTCCCTTTTGGCCTATCACTCATTTCTCTGTGCTCTGGCAGGGGGCCAACTGCTCATCTGTGCCAAGGGGGACATGCCTTTTATTCACGCAGGTACAGGTGCAGGCACAGGTGTAGAAGCCGATGTCACAGGCTTGAATGATAGGATGAAGTCAGGTCTGGATATGGAAATACTGAGCCCTCCGCAGTTAGTGCTTAGCATCCAGGGGCCAGGGGAAGGCATGGAGAAACTGAGGGGATACACAGGGAAAGGTCTGGGTCCTGAGCAGACCTGTATGAACAAGTGTGTGTGTTTGTACGGAGTGGCCCAGGCGACACAGGGTTAGGAGGGCATTGGCTGCTTCAGTGGCCTGGAAGGACAGAGCAGGTAGCAGCTGAGGGTTTCTGTGTTCCTGTGACATCAGGGTGGTGGAAACAGAGACTGTAACCCATCATCTCCCCTCTGGTGTGGATCCTGGAGGCTAAGGAGGCTGGGACTTGGGGAGTGTGCAGAGTCTCACACACAGTATGCAGCAGGCATAGGGAGCAAGCGGAAGCCAGGTGTGGCCCTGTGCAGTTAGCTGCTGGATGGGCCACTCTGGTACCCAGGAAGGAACCAGCACCCCTTCTTCCTTCTCAACACCCTGACTTTCAGCCCACATTTCTTGAATAAATGTGTCTGTAGGGATGAAATATTTAGGTCAATCCCCAGAGTTTTAAAAAAGCCAGTTCTGGAAATCTGTGAATGAAGCCAGGTTTCCTTGTTTTATGGAGGATAAATTTTCCCCAGCATCTTTTTCAGAACCGCTCAGACACATTCTCCTTGGGCCCTTGTCTACTTTATACCAGGAAACTGTATTTATGCCAGAACAAACTCACAGTAAAGAAAACCAAAATGAGTGAGTAAAATGATTCTTGCCTTGCTTTAATCCTCAATTTGTAGTGAAATTATGAATATTTACGAAATTGACTCCATGTTCATGTATCTCCATTATAATGCATTTCTCGTTTTCCTTGTTGATGTTATAAGTGATTTCTGTTGCAGTAACATGTTGTCTTAGGGTTTCTAATACTGCGATGAAAGACCAGAAGGCAAGTTGGGAGGAAAGGGTTTGTTTGATTTACACTTCCACATCACTGTTCATCACTGAAGGAAGTCAGGACAGGAACTCAAACAGGGAAGGATCATGGAGGCAGGAGCTGATGCAGAGGCCATGGAGGAGTGCTGCTTACTGACTTGCTCCTCATGGCTTGCTTAGCCTGCTTTCTTATAGACCCCAGGACCACCAGCCCAGGGATGGCACCACCCACAATGTTCTGGGCCCTCCCCCATTGATCACTAATTAAGAAAGTGCCCTACAAGCTTGCCTGAAGACCTATCTTATGGAGGCATTTTCTCTCTGGTGTGCTTGTTTTGTGTGTCTGTGGGGGCTGGCTCTGTCTCAGGCTGATTCCTTTCTTATTTCTTCAGTGATGTTTATGGTGTGTATGCACATGTAAGATGCAACTCAGCCAGGCAGACCCAAGACCAGCCTGGTGATTCATTCACGGGCAGGATTCTTCACTGACTGCCTCTGGTGTCCTCGTCTCTCTGGGGAAAGTGGCTGCCACTGAACCAAAGTTTAGTGGAGGAGACAGATGATGGGCAGTTAACAAATGTGTCAGTCAAAGGAAGTAAGACAGGAGGCTGGGGTCGTGGCGGAGACTCTGATCCAGTGGTGTCCCACGTCCAGGAAGAGGTCATCTACAGGCAGCGTCAGCAGGGCAGTGGGGAGGCAGAGGAGCTTCTGGGTGGCATGCTCTCGGTACTGAAAGTACATGTATGTGGTTAGACAGTGGAAGGTGCTGGGGTGAGAAGGCAGTACTACTCAGGGTTGGCGTCACAGCCACCACAGGTAATTCATGGCCCCGGGTGCAGATGGCTTCTAAAGACAATGTGGGCCATAACCGTTCAAGTGCCTAGTCCTGGATGATCCCTACTGTGAAGCATGGGACCCCTGAATGGGGGCCTAATAGCCCACCGCGTGGCATCGTGCACCCCTACCCTGCCCACCGAGCCCCTCGAAAGCGGCACAGTGTAGCATGTGTAGGACTCCCACTTTCCGCTCCTGGCCCCCGGTCCACGCTCCTGACAGCATCCCATGAAGGCCATATGAAGCCGGTCCACTAAGATATTTTCTCATCCCGCTGGGTCTCACAGGAACTTTGCCAAGGAAATGCAAGAAGGAGCTGCTGGCGGTGAAGCTGAGGAACCGGCCGAGCAAGCAGGAGCTAGAGGACCGGAACATCTTCCCCAGGAGGACCGATGAGGAGAGGCAGGAGATCCGACAACAGATAGAAATGAAGCTCTCCAAGTAAGTGCCACGTGCAGACCCACGCAGAAGCCTCCCGGCCCTGCTGGGCAGGGTGCGCAGACAGGCGAAGGGTCCAGGCAGGTCATTCAGCCCTTGACGCTGCTCGGGATAGCTGTCTGTTGGGGTTGCCTGTGTGCCTGTGGCTCAGCAGCATCCCTGGCCTCTGCCTGCCATGTTCGAAGTTTTCTCAGTATCACCAACTCTCCCCACGGTGAGCCAGTGGTCTGTGTGAGTCCGGGGAGATGTGTGGAAGGAGGGAGGGCCTGGAGCAAATGGCTGAGGACATGGTTTCTGCAGCACAGCTGGCTACAGGCTGCCCCTCAGAGCTTCCACCCAATCATCCTCCTCTAAGAACACGGGTCCTACTTTGCTAGATCTTCAGAGTCTGTTGGGAGAAGCTGTGCTGACATGAATGTCTAAATACAGTGTCACACTTTGGGGGCCAGAATGTGCACCTCACTCTATGTGCTACAGGATGAAGGATGCACTAACAGTTCCTATAGTCAGTCACCATTGGGGCCAGGCTCCTCTCCTCTTGCCTCAAAGTCCTCTCTGTGGCCCACAAGAACAAGTGATGTTCAACAGTCTCTGAGGGCCACCAGGTAATGGTTGCTCAGCAACTAGGTGGTCACTCACCCTGGGTGAAGACAGACTGTGCTGTGGTCCAGGCCAGAGGGGAACTGGCTGGTGGCCTTGGACTACAGAAGGCGGGGCTTCAGAGTATTCATAGAGGGCGGGGCTGTGGAGGGCGGGGCTGTGGAGGGGGGCTGTGGATCACCTGCCACCTGCGGACAACAGTGCTGCCCAGCACCTCAGGATGGGGGCTGTGGGCTGTGGGAGTTGGGCTACTGGAGAAGAAGCTGCAAGCAGCTTAGCTGCAAAGGGTGGGGCTGGAAGCTGTGGAGCTACTCGGTTTGGGAATTTCTAGGACCGGGATTCCCCTTGGTTCACAGAACCAGGAACTAATTTTAGACTCTGGGATCGAATGTAGTAGCTCCTCTGATGCTTGTCACCACGTCTGAGAACAGAAAAGCGTCCCAGAATTAGATTCAGAGAGCAGGAGGCAATGAGTCTCCCCTGGAAGTTAGAGGTGGCCTCTGGTGCCCCCATATCTCCCTGTAGGAGCGGTTTAATTAGCCCTCTGTCTGTGTGCCATCTTAGGACCTTCCACATTCTACTGCTGAATAATTCAGCCTCCGGTTGCCATAGCAACACATCTGTGGTATTTCCAGGAGTGTTGGGGTTTCCTTGGTGGTTTTTTTTTTTTTTTTTTTTTTTTTTTTTTTTTTTTTTTCAAATCTTTTTTCTTAAAATTTTTATAATCTGTTTGCTGTTGGGCTTCTCTGAATGAAGGCATCCTTGTCTCCCATGCATGCACACCCAGCATGCCTAGTCTGGGTCCCACTATGAAGTTGGAGTCCCCCCTATGGGGTGAGAATCTGTGATGATGCCCGTCCCTTCCTGCAGGGTTGCTGAGCTTGCCTTTCACATGTATGTGGGTGAGCGGGCGAAGTCCTGGTTTGGCATGGACAAAGGCGTCCTGGGAATCACATGCAAAGGCCCGTGTGCCCCCTTGGTGCTGTCCACACACTCTCAAGAGCATTAAATACAAAGACACTACTGACAGGGACCCATAGTGTAGCTTGGGTTGGCCTTGAACTCCAGGCCCTCCTGCCTCAGTCTCCCCAGCACTGGAGTCACAAGCGTGTGCTGGCTGTCACTCTCAAGTACTGACCGCATGCTGCAAGTTGAGTTTATCCGCTCCTGTCTCAGCCATCCTTGTAGCTACACAGTGATGGAGAGAGGTCCTCACTTCTTGTTTCTCACGCTTTGGGGAGCGGTTGCAGTTTCCTGCCAGGGTGCTGTGGGAGGAGAAGGAGGGGTACTAATCGGACAGTCCCAGAGTGCCCAGCCAGCCCCCCGTGAAACCTTCCAGACAGTAAGGCATCAAGGGGGTGCTCTAGCTTGGTCATCGCTTGGCGCTGTCTCCTATGGGCTTGGGCTTCATGTGGGGTGTTCTGGGAGTCCTGACCAAAGACACTGTGCCTGGTGCACAGATGTCTGCACCCATAGAGGGCAGAAGAAGGAATGCAAAGTCATGTCATCCCCTCCCCCTGCACATAGGTTAGAGATACTTTGTAAAAATATTCAGGAACGAGCTTGGCCTCAGGAAGGTGGGTTTAGATGGCAGTGCCCCATCACAGCTGTGGTCAAGGGCTCCCCCCCACTTTATAAAGTGGAGACAATGGGGCCGGTAGCTTTTTAAAGATTCCGGGTCACTCAAAAGGAACAAGATCACATTCCTGGCAGGAGGCACTGACTGAGACCAGCTACTGCCAAGGCCAGGCATCCTCAGGGGTTGCTTGTCATAGACACAAGCTCTAGAAGCCACCAGCAGGCCTCCTGGTCTGAATAAATGGGGTCACAGGTGCTAGCTGCCCATGTGGCCTTAGAGCCTTGCTGTGGAGCAGATGACAGCCTTGTGCCTAGAGTTAGTTGGTGGCTTGTTTGGGCCAAGGCTCTGGACAGGCGCCTCTTGAGTGATGCATTTTGTGGCTGCTTCTTCAGGCTCCCTGGGGGAGGCCTTTGTTCCAGGGCTGAGTGAGAGGCTGATTAAGCTCAATAGTCTCCTCCAGGGGTTGGCACTTAGCGCATTAGCACAGCGGTTAAATGATCCCAGCTTCTCTGTACACTGTGTTCTGCCACATCCAGAACAGACTGCTACCACTGGGCCCACAGAGAATGCAGGGTCTCAAGGCAAACAGGCAAACAGCGCCAGGCACACGGGCAGCACCAGTCAGTCACGTCTCCCGCGCTCGTCCGACTTGAACTCTGCAACGTTTTAGGACGTTGCATGATGCTCCACATGTTCTTCTGAGGCTGCGGAGGTCACGCATGGTGCGAACTCTTGTCTGTGGACACAGGGCTTTGGGAATATATAATCTTCTAGACTTAATAGGAAGAACACCTGCTGCTTCTAGTTGCTCAAAAGCCAGTCCTGTCTGGAGTGTGCGCATCCACCACATAGGCAGAGGTCACACTGTTAACAAACTTCAGAGTGTCTTTGCTTCGAGTCTCTCTTCTGCCCTGGCTTTGAATGTGTATGAGCCCGGTTCACCATGGGCACTTTAAATCCACTCCTGTGAGCATGGGCCTCAGAGGCCATCATGGTCATAAGGGAGCTGCTGCTCCAGTCCTTCTTGCTTGTTTGGAGCTGTGCACTCACAATCCCCTTGGAGGCTTGCCCATGTGTCTTGGGGTGGCTTCTCTGCATAACTCCAGTCCATTTTCACATGAGGAAAATGGACATACCACCAAGCCACAGGCAACAGGTAACTTGAACATAACCCCGGCCAGTTGTGTTAGCAAGCATAAACTCAACTCCGCCACCACTGGAAGCAACTGGACTCTCAGGAGAGGGTATGGACAACCAATGGGGTCTGCGCCACCAGTCTGGAGGAGACAAGAAACAAGGCTGCTCTGAGCTCAGCAGCTTCGTGTTATCCCCTTTGTGTGGGGTGTGTGCCGAACCCTCCAGCCACTCAAATTTTCCCAGGGCCAGCCCAGTGCTGTCTCCGGAATTACGTGGCAGGGAACATTGGTGGACAGTTGTCCCTCTGATGCTTTCCGGTTCTCATATCTGGTTCTTGGAGGAGGCTTGTGAAGTGCAGATTTCCAGAATCTTCTTCCATCTCCTAAGTGGGCAGCGGGGGAGGGGGAGGGGGAGGGAGGAGAGAAAGAGACAGGGACAGTGTGTCTCTGCGAGTGCACACACACATGAGGAACACGTGCCGCAGTCTAAGCATGGTGTCTGAGGACAAGCTCAGGTGTCATTCCCACCTTGTTCGACTTAGGGTCTTCTGTTGCTGATGACCACTCACACCAGGCTACCTGGCCTTGAGCTTTCCGTGATTCTCCCGTCTCACTCAAGTGCTGGAATTACTGATGTGTACCATGTCTGGCTTTGTGTTAGTTCTGAGGACTCCAGGTTTGTGCTTGTTCGGAGCGCACTTTGCCCATTGAACCATCTCCCCAGGGTCTGTGCCATAACAGCCCTGCCCCCCAGTGTCTCTGCTACCTTATGTTATGTTGTGACGTCACTAAGACTCCCTGGTGTCTTTGGGTGTCCTCTGAGTGCTTTCAGCACCAAAGCACACTGCTTCTGCTTAGCCTGTTGCTATTTTAGGGAGGATGTACATTTTATAATTAATTGAAGCTCAGAGCAAAGTGCACAGCGGCTCGTGACAACGTGTGTGTCACGTGAAGTGTGTGCTGTGTTTAAGCTCCTCTTACAGGCTCTTTTTGCTTCGGCTTATTGTTATGGACATAGTTTTATGTACAGTTTCAAAGTACTTTTTGGGCTTTAAATTTTTCAATAGCAACAGCTACTTTTGGTGAGGGCTGTGTCTATGTTCTGGACACTCTGCTGTCCGGTCTCCTCTAGGCCAAGGTTTCCCTCTTACAGCCCTGCCCCCGGTGTCCATTGGCAACAGTGACGTGGCGTCTTTGGATTGGATGGAAATGTCAGCATGCTTTCTCTCCCAGCATGGGGAGACTGTTGGCTTCAAGAACCTCACAGTTCAGATAAGGCAACAATAATGGTTAGGGGGACATAGCTGAGGCTTGGAATTTTTCTTTTTAGGGATTGTTTGTATAAAAAAATGTTTTAAAATGGTAATGCCAAGTGTTAAGAATATTTAAAGCAAGCAAGCAAACAAACAAAAAAAGCCAGTCATGTTTAAAAGGGGGAAAAATAAGAAAAAAGAGTCAGACACAAATGGGAACTAACTAAGGTGAGCCCTGCGAGATCACAGATGGCGGGGTGGGGAGGAGGGTCCTAAAAGCACGCGTGGAGTGTGGAGCAGGCACCCTGAGGGCGGTGCACACAAACGTTACAGAACAAGGATGGGATCCTCCTGTCCACTTTACAGGACACTTACATAACGCATCTTTAAATGTGATGTAGAGCACTGCTGTGTGAACATGGAAATTGTAATAGG